AGACCAGTTCTTTTTAAAGCCTTGAATTTCTCAGAATTTTTGGGGAGAAGTAAAACCTTCCAGCAGAGATGACCTTGACCCGTGGTCTCTCAGGTTGGTCTGAGACCTTGGGCCACCAACAGGGAAGAAGTTCTAATGGTGCACGCAACATCGAGAGGCTGGAAAGATAATAAGGCAGGATGTCACACTGAGAGTGGGAGATGTCAGGACAGGACGGAGGGGTAGCATCCTCTTACTGAGGTGTGCAATATCCTGTCCTGTGCAGTGCACAGGGGAGATGGGAGTCAGTGCAGGTGGCATCAATGTATTCTGTAGCGACAGGGAAAGGCTTTCATCCCTGGATAGTATTACCCCTTCTCATCCTGCTGACAGTGCAGCTTGCTCGTATGGAATCTAAAAACCCTCTTGATTACAGCGGAGAGGAGCCAGTGGGACTGGGCTTCCCAAAAGGATCGTCTCTCCAGGGATTGTCCAGGCTTCAGTTGCAGCCCTGTTGGACCTCTTTCCATAAAGGCTTGCCTCTTTCCAGCTCAGATATGTGTCTCTACAAATACCATGATGCCTACTTCCCCAGGTAGCAGAGTGTTCATATGCGTAATGCACTTTAGACACGCACATTTATATTACTCCGCGCTCCCCTAGTTATCCAGAGTTATTAATTTTCTCTCTGTCTCAAACCAAAGCATAGAGGAACGTGGTTTTCTCAGCTGACTCCCCAGTGTAGGAGTGCTGGCGACAGTAGCGTTTCTCTGGGAATGCACATAAGACAGGATTGAGCCCAGAAGCAGTTGCTGTTCAGCAACAGGAGAAGGAACCTACTGTTTTGGTGGTTGCAGTTTCACCCAGCTCCACTGCATGGTGGAGGTTTGACATGTTACTTGTGGCGCCTCCTTGCATTGCGTTGCTGGAAAGCTGGGCTCCTGCCTGCCATCTCTTCCCAGCCCCTTCCACTTGTTTTTAAACCCCCGATCCAAGGGCTCAGTGTAAGCAGCAAGTTTCTGTGGCATCTGCATGGAAGAGGCTCCTGTGGCATCTGCATGGAAGAGGCACCTTAGAAAAGCTTTCCTTTAAGAGTTATGTGTTGGCAGAGGGAGGTGGTGACAAAAGAGTCGCACTTTGAGCCCTTCGCAGCCGTTTTGCTGACTTCTGCTGATAGCCAGACCAGGGGGTCCCACTGGCTGTGACCCAGATGTGCATTTTGTGCATCCTAAAGACCGCTGTGTCGCAGGGAGCTACAGGGTTAGACAAGAGGTTGTACGGGCGACAGAGGGGAGACCTCTAGAAATGGTCTCCCCTCTGGTTAAAGTTGGCTTGTGGTAGTGTGCTTCCTTTCCAAAGAGGGAGATAATGTATACCAGAAGCAGGTCCCGGAGCTGCAGGTTCCTGACTCAGAAAGCCAGCCATCCACATGGTGCTGAGGGAGCTGATCTGAGAGTGGGGGTGAACGTGGCCCCAGGCCTGGGGCTGGGGACTAGGGGGGCATGGGAGGAGTTCGTACCTTCATGTCTGTGTTTTTGCCCTTGCTCGTTTCCTGTAACCGGCGCGTTGGGAATGATGGCCGTGTGGCTGACCCTTGGTCCCTGTGCGGCGCTGCACCATAACTGCATGGCTTCTGATGACTCACAATCACTCCGACATGCCACTCCGTCTCTGCAGCCTGTTTTCTAAAGACCTCTGAACCCTAGATGTGGGGGCCTCCGCCCCGCGGGCAGCAGACTCCAGACTGGGACTGGGGGTGGGGACCGGGAAGGAATTCCTCAGCACAAGGAGAGACTGAAGGATGTCCTCCTCCTGGCTGCCTCTTCCCCCTCTCCCCCACACTCAGGATGGACCAACCCCAGAAGAGGACTAGCAGAGCTCTCCGGCAGGCCCCTCTCCCGCGTGTGTGCGCCCAGAACAGCAGGGTGCACAATTATTCGGCTGTCGTTCCTTGTCCCCCGAGACACTTGTGCCTCCAGCTGAACCAGATCTTCCTCAGTCCCCAGGGCATCTGCCAGGCCCTCTGCATAGCTATTTTTTTTAATGTTTAATTTCTCCACCCCCCTGCCACAACCCTTTTGTACTGAATGAGGAGTCTTTTAAGTCACAGGCCCAGCTGGAAGTCCCCTTCTCTCCCCTTTAGTTTGGGAGCCCTCATTCATGTTCAGGACCCTGGAAACCAAAATCAGGGGGCAACTTTGATTCCTCCCACGCACATGCACGCATGCACACCAGCTCCCGCCGAGCCCTGGGGCGGGACCACCCTGCCACAACCCTTTTGTACTGAATGAGGAGTCTTTTAAGTCACAGGCCCAGCTGGAAGTCCCCTTCTCTCCCCTTTAGTTTGGGAGCCCTCATTCATGTTCAGGACCCTGGAAACCAAAATCAGGGGGCAACTTTGATTCCTCCCACGCACATGCACGCATGCACACCAGCTCCCGCCGAGCCCTGGGGCGGGGCGGGGCGGAGGGCTGGTGCACCCTGCAGAGCTTAAAGAACAAGATGACGACGTTTGTTGCTTTGCAAGAATGTGCTGACTGTTTGTTTCTTCCTTTGTCTCCTTTCTTCCCCCTTCCCTCTCCCTCCCCCAATCTTTCTTCTCATTTGGTTCCCTTCGACCCATCTCCCACCCCCCCATCTCTCCTCTCCCCCCTTCCGTATCTCCCAGGGCTAATCAGTTGTAGAAGCCAGTCGGTTCAAGAAAATTCCAGTACCAACATGGGGTTGGAGGCAATAATTAGGAAGGCCCTAATGGGTAAATATGACGAACAGTGGGAAGAGCGCTCGCCTCTCAGTGCCAATGCCAATGCTTTTAACTCTCTGAATGCCAGTGCAAGCGCACCTGCTGCTATGCCCATAACTGCTGCTGACGGACGGAATGAGGACATGCGCTCTATGCCAGGTCTGCAGCCCTTTCCTCCTTTGCTGTCTCAGTGTCATTAATTCCTCTCTCTCTCTCTTTCTCTCTCTTTTTCGCTCGCTTTTATTTTTTAATCCTTTGTGGGTTTTGATTTATTATTATTCCATGTCATAGTCTGGAAGGCGCTGCTGCTTTCTCTAAAACACTGACTGCGCTCTTGGTGTATTTGATCTTTCCCCTTTTTTTAATCTCCTTTCCCTTATGATGTGCAAGAAGGTGTATGGAAGAAGAAAGACACCAAAACACTCTGTGCTGAAAGGTTTTCCTTCTAAAGCACCAAGTCCAAGCAAAGGCCTCAGTTCAGCAAAGCCAGAGAGCTTGTTTGCAGTGCTCCTGGCTTCGGTTTGAAGCTTGGGTTGTTATCAGCGGGGCTTGGGCAAGGTCCTCGGTGCTTGGCTGAACTGGGGCCTAATAGCGTGTTTCCCTGTGAGATATGTGGAGTTAGATGAGGCTGCTTCTGGTGGTAGAAATACACACGCAGACACACACTCCCCAGAGCAGGGATCAGAGAAGGGATCTGGTGGCTGTTAGGGATTGTGATACACAGAGGCAGGAAAGCATCCCGTTTGCCCCCAGCCTTGGCGTCCTGAGGGCGGGAGGCAGTGCAGCGCGTTCTCGTCAGGACAGAGGCAGTGCCCACCATGGCGATGCAGCGGGCTGTCATGGAGAGCGGGTTGCCATGCATCGCCCACACGGCTTTCCCCACTGGGAATTAGCTGCTTCCCCGGGGAGAGGCACCTGCTCTCGTCCACGTCGATCTGTCACTGCTGCTGTAACTCCCAACGTTTTCTCCGGCTGTCCAGCTTGCCTGTCCTCCCAGCCTCTTCTTTCAGGTGTTGCCCAGGCCTGAGGCTGCCTGTTACTCAGCCCTTTTGTGCTGGCTCACAGGAGGGGCAGCTGTCGGCTAAGCTGCCCCAGGTAGCATGGCTCATCCCACTACATGCCATGAATCAGACCTCCTGCCTGGCTTCAGAGTTGGGCGAGTGTTACAGCACCATGCGCCAGGCATCCCCCTGGTCCTCCCAGGGCTTTTCAGAAACATGGAGGGGGGGTCAGACCAGCAAGAGGGGCAGGGGGGTGAGGGGATGACTGCTCCACCCCCCCGTCCCCCAGCAGCAGGTGACTTGCCATCTGCTTGGGCCATTACAGTAGTAGTTACAAGCACAGGTCCCCTAGTAGGCTAGGGGGAGAGCTGGGCTCCAAGCTTAGTTATCCTTAACTAGCACCCAATATTGGGAATTCACCAAGCCATCTAGACCCTAAGGATAGGAGGGGAGGTGCCCATACACACTCGCATGTCCGGTGAGGAGGACAGGTGGAGCCAGGTGTGCAAGCAAAGCTCTTCTGCTCCTTGCAGAAAAACCTTCCCAGCCAAGCCAGCAAGCAAACGCGCTGCCGAGTCATGACACAAGTCGCATTCAAGCACCCAGCTGGTGTACTGGACAGAAGCTGCTGCAGCTTGCTTCATGGTAGCAGGGCTGGGGAGCAGGGTGGGGACTAAATGGGAAAAAGAAACCAATTTGAACCAACCCCTTGAAATCTGAGGGGTCACAGGCTGTGAACGGGGAAATGATTTCTGCCTTTCTAGTTTCTTTCCATTGCAGCTGCAGTAACTTCTTTCCAGATGAGAGTTGTGAGGTTGTTAGGCTTGTTAAGTGGTTGAAAGCTGGCTAACAGAGCGTCCTCAATAGAGGTGCCCGTGCGTAACCCGCAAAAACAAAAGGCTGGCTGGGAAATGCATAGGACTGCGCTCTTTCATTTCCCGTGGAAAAGCTCACTGCGGAGGCTAGCGGTCACTAATCTTCCTTTTCCATTACTGATGCATATGCCATTCTGAGCTTCTAAGATGTGCCCAGGTCAAGGTCTGCAGAAGCGACTGGTGATTTTATAGGCTCAGCCTGAGACCCTTTAATGCAGCCAGACTTTCAGGAAGTGCCCGGTACCTGCCTCTGAAACCAGGCCCTTTTAAGGCATCTCTGGCTGGGTGTCCCAAATTGCAAGTCGCTTCTGGAAGCCTTGACCTTGTGTCCCGTGTCTCCAGGGAGCCGCTTGACCAGTGGGGTGCTTCTCTTTGTAGGAGGAGGAGGGAAGCCAAAGATGGCTGCCAGACCGAACAGCCGCAAGGCCAAGTCTCCAGCGCCGGGCCTGTCCTCCGGAGAGAGGCCGCCGTCTGTTTCTTCCGTTCATTCTGAGGGGGACTGTAACAGGAGGACACCTCTAACCAATCGGGTCTGGGAGGACAGGCCTTCATCCACAGGTAATGCCGCATTCCCATTTGGGTCCCTGTGGCTCCACCGTTGGCCAGGTAGAGCAGCGGCCACGTGGCAGGATAACTCCCTTCAAACGTGTTGGCCAACCCTTCCCGTTGGGAACGCTACTGGTTGGTAGAGCTCGGGAGTAAGAAGCATGAGCAGGGGGAGCAGGGCAGCCATAAAAGCAAAACAGTCGATGGCACCAGCCATGTCCGTGGTACCAGGGCTGGAAAATTCACAGCCCATGCTCGCACAACTGGCCCCATCTTACCCAGTCCTTGGTTGCCCCGTTGATGCACCCCGCTCTTGAATTACAGCTTTCTCTGCTACTCCAGTCCTAAGCCCCATGCAGTTCTGCCAGAATACCTCACCCATAGGTTTCGTAGACATTAGGGCTGGAAGGGACCTCGCAAGATCATCAGCTCATGACTCGCAGTCCCTGCTGCTCCAGTATCTGTGGAGCTTCCCAGTTCTGGTGAACCGGACGGCAGTACTGGAGCACTCTGGGTAGGATCAGGCCTGGAGAGGAAAGACTGGCGTGTGAATTCCTTTTCGGGCACCACTGAGCTGCTCTTCTGTCTTGATTCAGGTTCAACGCCATTTCCATACAACCCACTAACAATGAGGCTTCCAACTGGCGTGGTGACAGCCACGCCGCCAACATCCATTCCACAAGGGAACCCCAACAGCCAGCACCACACCTGGGAGGAAGAGCCCAAGCCCCTGCTCTGCTCACAGTACGAGACACTTTCAGACAGTGAATGAAAGAGAGCGGAGGGATAACAGCCAACCAACCAACCAACCACGTGGGTAAGCAAGCTGGCCAGGGTGAACTCTGACCATATCAGTCCTGGGAGCCATCCGCACTGACCCTGCAAGCCAAGAAGCGGGAGCAGCGCTTTGTCCAGTCACTCAATTTTATTTTATTTGTTCTCACGCCTGGAAATTTCTGAATCATCTTCAGTCTAAAGCCTTAATAAGACAGACAGATGGACCCCAGCCTCGTTCTCTTTCCAGTACCAGTGTCGTCATGAAATGGTCCATGAGCATGAGACACAGTCCACAAACAGCTGATTGGGATGATGGTGGCAGGGGAGGGAGTGGGACGGCTGCACCCTGCCCTAGAGCAGCTCTGTAGGATACAATCGATCACTGAATTCTCAGTGGTTTACTCAGGGGATACCACCCAGTGCTCCAGTTGTGTTCTTTCGCTTTGATGAGAACAAGGAAAGCCCCGTTGTTCTTGGGAGCACAGTACGTGTGCTTGGGCATGTGTGCACGCACGCATATACCATATGCGTGTGTGTACACCCATGGAGTGTATACTCTGCCTGCACACTCGTGCTGCCTGCTATCGAGTACTTGAAGTAGGATCCGACTCCCCTTCCCCAACCTCCAAGCCATTCCAAGGGTTTCCCAGCACACAAGCTGTGCCACTGAAATACACAATCTTTTGTGGCAGGGTGGAGGGAAATGAAATTTAAAAAAATTTCCTACTTCTCTTGCTGATTTGGATGGTCTTCATGCACCTTCGGCATGAGGTTTACTTGCCCAGCAGCACTTTCGACTCATCGGGCACCGGAAAGTTGTAAACGAATGCACGGTGCTGGACGGGGATGGGGAGAGTGAGTCGAGGATCCATTTAAAAATTCCTTTGGAGAACGAAATCTTGGGTTCGGATTGTAATGGAAAGAGATTTCCCATGTCATGATGCGCTCTCTGCAGAAGGGACTTGTTGCTTTAAGTGCATTGTTTTCTGAATGGCAAGAAAAGGCAATTGTAAATGATGTATTGGTCTACAGGGTATATTTTTGATACCTTCAGTGAATTATGTCGAGATGTTTTACGAAAGGACTTGAAACAGTATTACGTGCTGTAAAAGAGGTTCTGTTATTACGTGCAGGCTTTGATGAGTTTGTCCATTGTATGGAAATGTAAAATGGTAACATTGATCCGTCAAAGTCATCCATAAGTCAGTAGAATGTATTAACTTAGTTTTAAAAAGATATTGCCACAACTGTAGGGACTCCTCATTATTACACATGCTGTTCCTAATGCAAGAGGGATCTTATTCTAGTCACAGAGGTTTATTCTCCAGCTTGGAGATCTCAAGAGAGCCTTTCAGGAGATCCCGGCAGTAGGGGAGGTTGAGGGTGGGCCTGAAGTCGGGAGGGAACTCACAAGAAACTTAAAGATGGTTTTTATTGTATTTTTCTGATACACATGAGTGCTCTACGTTATTTTTCATTCCATGATGTTGGATCATATCTGCAGTTACATGGTTAAAGAACAAAAATATTAGACTTTTTTCATTCACTTCTGCTCTCTTGCTCTGGGGGGAAAAAAGGCACAAAAAAAATGTATTAAATGCTTTGCGTTCTATATGCTAAAGGAAAAAAGACCAGGACACAGACTTTCTGCCTCTTCCGTTGCCTGCTGAAACAAACACCTGCAGTGTTACAAAATCGTTCTCATTTGATAAGAGCTTGTCAAAGAAAGAGGATCATATCGTCAAACTATCAATGGTTATTTTTTTCCCCTACAGTGTTCCAAGGACGAATCTGATTTCAAAGCAACAGAAAGATAAGATGGCGTTTGTTGTTTGGGTTTGGTTATATTTTTCTTGTCTGTTTTCTACAATGTACAGGTGTTTTTTTTAATGTTCATCCATGTTTGCGTCTTTTCTGTTGCACTTTCTTTTTTTAAACGCACAAAACATTTCCAGTAGTTTTGGTTCCCCAGCGCTACTTCAAGTGATGGCGCTCTGTAGCTCAGAAGCAGAGTTGATAAAGCTGACATTCTTGATAAAGAAACAGGGAATTTTACTGGGTAAAATCCAAATCCATCCACCCACCTGCCTTTCTCCTAACTCCTTTATTTTTAAATACACCGTCATAAAGGCATGTAGCCAGGTGCAGCATCTGGGATAGAACTGGTTAAAAAAATGTTGCAGTTTGCCAGTGAGAAATGGACAGGCATACTCACCAAAAACCTATCCTATTTCTTGACCTGGCTTTATTGCCCGGTGAAGAAGTATTTTGGAGTTAGATGTATTTTTATAAGGAAAAAACAAAAGTACAGGCTTCTCTCGAGGAATATTCCCCTTTCTTTTGACCAGCCCTAGTCTTGGACATTTCCTTGTAGCTTTTTTTTCTCTTTGCATGAGGGATTCAGGCTTTGTCAGCCTGTGTTGGATTGGACTTCAGCTGTACACTGGCTGCCTGTGCCGATTAGGAGAGAGAAGCGGGTCTCCAAATGTGGAGAGGTCGATTCATGAGAACTTTGCTCAGCGGGTTACACGTGCAGCTCGAGCTCCCCGCTGGGATGTCCACACAGAGACTTTCCAATGCCTCCAGGATCCGGCCTTGCAGTGCCAACAGGGGAGGCCTCCTGCTTCAGACCTAGCGCTAAGACAGGAGGAGGAACTGGGCTCCTCTGCCTGGAGAGAGCCGGTTCCAGGAGGCAGCAATTGGGAAGGGACAAATGAGGGGTATGCTGTAATTGGGGAGCTTCAACGGGGTCCTAAGGGATGAGGCACTCAGCTAACATTGGTTTTCCAGGGAAGCTGGGCACGTAAGCCCTTCAGGGTTTGTACATCTCAGCCAGCCTTTCTGGCAGAAGCCTCCCTCCT